GTCGCCAATACTCGTCCTGCTAGTGCAGGATCTCAGTCTCCTCTTGGTAATGTCATCAGCGGACGCAACATTCTCCGCTAGCCCCGCCGGCAAACTAGCGGTCGGCCCTTCGAATGATGACGACCCGGGGAGGGCAGGGTCCACACCCTCCCCGTGCCGGTCGCTGTGGGATCCGAAGCCCACTGCGGCACTAAACTTTTTTCCTTCTTCGTTGTGCTCCATGTTTTTCTTTTTAGTTTGGCTATTGGATAGAGGGGAGCCACCCCGTGAAAAATATAGAGGGGGAATCTGGGGACAACGGGGAAGTGAAAAGGATGGGGGGTAAGGGTGGAACACATGCGCCAGATGCGCCAATCACACATACACACACACATTCACACACCAGGAATTGGGAGTAATAGGTCCATGGGAAGGAAAAGGAGGTAAGGTTGGGATGGGTAAGAGAGCCAGAGAAGGGATATCTAGGGATAGGAACATGAACTGGGGAGTAAAAGAGGATTGGGGTGTTCTTCCACCCTTCACGGGATCCTCAACCCGGGCGATTGAAGTCAGGGCCGCCTACCCCTATGCGCATCAGGCCAGAGTGCCCGGAGGGAGCGCAACCCCCCTTCCTCCCCTTCCGGGGAGGGAAGTGCAATGCAGGCTCTTGGTCACCGTCCCCCGGTCCCCGGGCCCCCCCGACACGAAAGTGTCGAAGTGGGGGCCCGAGAGACCCACCGGGCCCCCCCCGACACCTAGGTGTCGAAGTGGGGGGCCCGATGGGCCCGGAGACCGGGGGGCGGCTAAGCCCCTCCACCACGTCAAGGTGGCCTGCAATCGGAGGAGTGCACCCTTCAAGAGGGCCGAAAACAGGGTCCGGATCGCTACGGGTCCGGAGACCACGCACGCCGGCCGCCCTGCCCACTACGTTTTTTCCCCCTCTGCCGGGGGACCACCTCTGGTGGTGTCCCCCCAGGTGTCCAGCCACCCAGGGGGACCCAGATGATTCGCGTGTGCCTTCGCTTGTTTTAGAGTGGGGTAAGGCAGGCCCCCACTAGGTAGACTCCTGTGTTGAGAGATGTGCCTTCCTCTCGACCGAGCTCCCCTCATTTTAATGGAGGGGCCCACTCACCTAGGCAGAATCGGCAGAGAAGTATCTCGTCGACTACTACTCGGGGCGATTGCGCTCCCCGGCGTTTGGTCGACGGTCCCGCTCGATCGCTAGGCCGGCACACCGCCCGTTCAGGCACTAACCATTTGACCGAGGTGATCACATTGGAGATACACCTCGGCACCGCATATGCCTCCGCGTTTTCCGGCTGGAGGAAGGCATACCCCACCTTGTGGATGAAAGGCTTGGGACCACCCAAGTCTGCTGATGTTCCCGGGTCCCACCGACCCTATCCGTATGAGCACCCAAGTACCCGCTGAGCCCAAGAACCGAAGTTCCCCGGTTCCACCGACCCTATCCGAATGGAGACCTACAGACCCAGCAAAGCACTAAAGGGACACCAGCAGACCATTACAATGGTCCCCTCACCCTCATCGACCCTTCCCGTGTCCCTGCATCCGCCTTTTTATACAGGAGGAATGCAGACTCCTGTTGAGATATGTCAGCCTCGGGGTCAGCGACCCGTCACTTGACATGCCTCGCCACTCGACGGCATCCGTGACTCGAAATAAGCGTGCATCCGTTTTTCCGGAGGGTGATGCACTAACCCTCGCTGCATCTCCTACCCGACGCGAGCTAACCTGAAAATAAAAACCTGAAAGAAAGAAAAGGAAGTATTAGCTTAAAACTAACTTATAGCTAACTTAAAATTAACTTAAAATTAACTTAAACTAACTTAAAACTAACGAAAACAAAAAACGCTGAATTGATCTCATCGCAGATCAACCAGCACCGGACGCCTTCGAGTTTTTCAAAGATGGGGAAGGCGCACCCCACTCTGTGGATGAAAGGCTCGGGAGCAACTGTCCGCCTCAGCTTCCTCGGGTTCCACCGACCCTATCCGAATGGAAACCCTATGACCCGCTTGAGCCCAGGAACCGAAGTTCCCTGGTCCCACCGACCCTATCCGAATGGGAACCTCCGGACCCAAGCGAGCCAGAAACCTTAGCGGAGGTTTCGATGCTCCCCTCACCCTCATCGACCCTTCCCGTGTCCCTGCATCCGCGTTATTAGACAGGAGGAATGCAGACTCCTGTTAGCCCCCGTGACTCGAAGTAAATGTGCATCCGGATTTCCGGAGGGTGATGCACCACCCCTCAACCTCATCTCCCGCTTGAAGAGCGGAAGATGGGCTTCCTACCCGGGAGAAGCTCCGCCTCCACGTGGAGACGGTGTTGTGCTGTGTTGTTTCCATCGGGAAACACTATCGTGCTTCGCGACGGAAGTCAACACTGCACCCGGCTGCCTTCGATTTTTTATACAAGGGTGGGCAATCCCCCTGTTGCCGACGTGCGACGCCGGCTCCTTCCCGTGTCCCCGCCTCCGGATTTTTTATTTAAAGCGAGGGGAAGGCGGACCCTTCGCTTGCGGTATGTCAGCCTCCAGGTACCGTAAACACAGTACCCTTCACCTGACATAAGGACCGCTCCACTCGACGGTTCCCGAGACTCGACATAAGTATGCCTCCGATTTTTCCGGAGGGTGAGGCACCAACCCTCTTGAAAGCAAGCCGCGACCCGAAGACTCTACTGCCCGGTGGCCAAAAAGATGGTGGATTTCCGCGTCTCTCCGAGGAGAGACCCGAACTCCACCCACACACACACTCACACATGCACACACCATTCACACACAGAGGAACCGCCACCGAGATAATCCCCGCCTCTGGCCCGGCAGGTGACAAAGTCACCCCACCAGTCCTTCGGGCGAGGGTCCCGGCCGGTTCCCGTTTTTCCCCTTTGAGGGACGCTTCACGGCGGGAGCACCCGCCGATCCGCCACCTCATCCCCCTGCGGGAGCACCCACACAAGTTACGGGCGGAGAGCTAGGCTCCCCCTACAGTGCCGTACCACTGGGCGATTGAAGTCAGGGCCGCCAACCCCTTCCAGCGAACGAGACTGGTCCGCGGCAGCAGACCTCATCTCTATGGAGTCGCTGGGCTCCATCTGCACCCAAAGCCGGGTACCGTGCTATTTGAAAGCGGGCGCCACCCCGAAGAAAAGTAGAAGTGGAGACCTTGGGACAATCGGTCGGGGAAGAAGGATGGGAGGTTTAGGATGGGAGGAAGAAAGAATGGGTTGGGTGTTCTTCCACCCGTAACAGCCCCATTGTGCCGGGTTTGGAGTCAGGGTTTTCCTTCCCCTATGCGCATCAGGCCATAAAGCCCGGAGGGAGCGCAACCCCCCTTCTCGTGATGTCCGCCCACGACGACTTCGGATTACTCACATACTCGCTACTCACGGCCCGAGGGCCGCTTTCGTTTTCGTTTCATCCTCAGCCGCCGCCTACAGCGGACACCACGAGGAAGTGCAATGGTGCGCTCTTAGACCCCTCAACCCGAAGGAAGAGGGGAGCTCCTCCACCACGACAAGGTGGCGCACCATCGGAGGAGAACCTAACCTGACCTAACCTAACCTGACCTGACCTGACCTGACCTAACCTAACCTGACCGTTCCTGCCGACGGAGACGGGTGTGACCTCTCCGCCGCCTGGGTTTGCCCGGCATTCGGCTTCCTGACCGTTCCTGCCGACGGAGACGGGTGTGACCTCTCCGCCGCCTGGGTTTGCCCGGCATTCGGCTTCCTGACCGTTCCTGCCGACGGAGACGGGTGTGACCTCTCCGCCGCCTGGGTTTGCCCGGCATTCGGCTTCCTGACCGTTCCTGCCGACGGAGACGGGTGTGACCTCTCCGCCGCCTGGGTTTGCCCGGCATTCGGCTTCCTGACCGCTCCCGCCGACGGAGACGGGTTTGACCTCTCCGCCGCCTGGGTTTGCCCGGCACTCGGCTTCCTCACCTCGCACTCCGACGGAGACGGGTTTGACCTCTCCGCGCCTGGGTTTGCCCGGCACTCGGCTTCCTGACCGTGCACGCCGACGGAGACGGGGGACCTCCCGCCGCCTGGGTTTGCCCGGCACTCGGCCTCCGCGCACCGCCGCACGCCGCAATCGCGACACGCTCGCCGAACGAAACCGCGACCGACCGTCTAGGCTAAGTTTACCGTAAGCGTCCGTAGGTTAAGCTAGAGGAATAATTAACTGCGTAGAATAAGTTAGGTATAAGCTCCGCGTACAATAAGTTAGGTATAAGCTCCGCTTAAAAATAGTTAGGTATAAGCTCTGCGTAGGCTAAGTCAACCTGGATAAACTAGCTACCAATAAAGACCTGTTGTTTATAAAAGAGGATTCGTACGCTTGACTCTCCTACCTACTCCCGAATCTTGGCACCGGCGAGCCAGTCCGTGGCGCACGGGATAGGCCGTACCGTTACAAGGTCACCGCCAAATTTTAAAGTTAATTGGGCCACGTCGCAACGGGGCCCAAAATCCGCCCGGTATATAATGAGCCCAGCGAGAGGACACGCGGAAGTCTTGCACTTTTCGGAGTCATTACTTTACGTTCACACCGCTTAGTTACACCGCTTTGTCAAACCGCTTATAACGACCGCTTGCTCTTTTCGGACCACCGCTTTTCTCTCTGTCTATATCGCTGACATATTTGCACGACGACCGCTAGTTTTCTTGGACACTGGTTTTTCTTGACGTTACACCGCTCGTGATATCTCGCACGAATATCGCACTATTCCGCTACACTGCTCGCGCCTTCGCTGTCACGCGTCGCCGCTGCACTCAACAATTGTTGCCTTTAATGTTCTGACTGCAATAAAGTTCTGCTATTTTTAACTGGCGTTTTCACTGAACTATTATCACTTTTCCGCGGCTCACTGTCGGACTCGCTCGCGACCATTCTGGTCCTTCGAGCCGGATTCACCATCCGCGTCCGCTGTTTCGGAGTGGTCCTCTCAGTGCAGTGCAGTTCTGTAGTGTGCGGTGATTTCTGAAAATAGGAAAGAACAATGAATGCTGATTTGAAGGCGTTGTTCGAGGCGCAGAACGACATCCATGGACGAATGTCCCGCTCCGTGGACAATCTGCGTAAGATGGGCGTCTCGAGCATCACCGCCGAAGCAATCCAGGCTCGCCTCCGCATCCTCGAGACGTTATGGACGAGATTCGAGGCCCATCACGACCTCATCGTGGCGGCTCTAAAAGACAAATATCTCGAAAGTGAGTACCCAAAAGCAGATTTTATCGATACTGCGGAAACCACTTACGTGACACAACGGAGCATGTTAGTCGATTACGCTAACAAGCTCAAGGGCGAGAAGCACGCCACGCTCAAAGGCGAGTCCTCTCCAGAGCAGGCTCCTAAGACGTCGTTGCCGCGCATCAAACTCCCGACGTTCTCTGGGTCCTACGAAGAATGGCCCTCGTTCCGCGATCTCTTCCTGTCCGTCATCGGGGAGAATGCGTCAGTCTCCGACATCGAGCGCTTCCACTATCTCCGGTCTTGCGTCAAGGGACCCGCTGAAAGGTTGATCAAATCTTTGACTGTGACCGGTGACAATTATCAGCGCGCGTGGGTGATTCTGTGCAGACATTTCGAAAACAAAAGAGAGTTCATTCGCTCTAATTTCGCCGCGTTTACCTCGGTCCCGAAGATGAAGTGCGAGTCCGCGGAAGAACTCGGTCGCATACACAACGCCGTTACGACCGCCGTGAACGCGCAGGAGAGTATCGGGAGGCCCGTCGACTCCCATGGTATGGACCTCCTCAACTTCCTCACTATCGAGCTCTTCGATTCGCGCACACGGATGGAATGGGAGTCCTCGATCAGCGACTCCACTGATCCGCCAGACCACGACACTCTCGTCAATTTCATCGCGAAGCGCATTCTCACTCTGAACGCTGCGAAACCGAGAGTATCGTCAAGGACCGCTGAAAGTGCGCCGCGAACTGCGAAGGCTCACCACTCGAAGACCGGCTCCGACTATTCAAAGTGCGCACTGTGCCAAGGAAAGCACACGCTCATGGTGTGTGGCGACTTCAAGGCGAAGTCCGCGAGCGATCGGAAGTCCTTCGTAGAACAAAACCGACTGTGCTATAACTGTCTCGAGAATCACTTGATCTCCAAATGCCAGTCCGTCAAAACCTGTTTCACGTGCAAAGGCAAGCACCACTCTACACTGCACGACGCGTATAGTTCGTCCTCTTCCAAGGAGGTAAGCGCGCTAGCTGCGATGCACTCCTCGTCCGAGCGCAAGGCGATCCTTCTCGCGACAGCTCGCCTGCTCATCGCCGACCGCGCCGGGCATCTTCACCCAGCTCGGGCGATGCTCGATCAAGGCTCCGAGGTGTCGATCGTCTCGGAGGCGCTGGTCCAACGCCTGAAGCTCCCCCGCACAAGCTCTTCGGTGTCTATCATCGGCATCGGCGGGGCTCGATCCGGGTCAACCCGCGGCAGAGTGGCGCTCAACCTCTCCTCCACGGCCACGGGAACCAAGCTGAAAGCGGTCGCCTTCGTGCTGCCGCGACTGTCGGCATATCAGGGGTCTTCGGTAGCCAACCTCTCCTCCTGGCCTCACGTCCGTGGCCTCGAGCTCGCCGACCCCCGATACCAGGAGCGCGACCCAGTCGAGATACTGCTGGGTGCGGAAGTCTGCTCGACCATCTTGGAGGCCGGGCTCCGCAAGGGTGGTCCGCGTGAGCCAGTCGCACAGAAGACGGCCCTAGGATGGATCCTGTCGGGAGGATCTAGCTCGGCGTCCTTCCAGGGTCCCCGGAGCTCCCTGCAATGCACGGTGGACCCAGAATTGAACAAACTTGTACACAGCTTCTGGGAGCAGGAGAAGGAATTTCCTCCCCCCGTCGCACTCACGCCGGAGGAGGAACAGTGTGAGACCCTCTTCACGCGCACTTACCAGCGGACTGCATCCGGTCGGTACGTTGTACGTCTTCCGTTCTCTTCCTCGCCAACGTCGCTTGGTGAGACTCGAAAATCCGCTGAACGCCTCCTGAACGCCATGGACCTCCGGTCCAAGAGAGATCTTGAGTTCGGTGCCAAGTATCGGGAATTCATGCAAGAGTACGAGGACCTGGAACACATGAGTCCTGTGAGCACGACTCGTACAGCAGCATGCTACCTACCTCACCACGGAGTCCTCCGCCAGTCCAACTTCGGCTCCAAGCTCCGGGTGGTATTCAATGGATCGCAACGCATCACCTCGGGGGACTCTTTGAACAGCCACCTGATGGTCGGCGCCAACCTGCTTCCGGCCTTGGCTGACATTCTTCTCCGCTGGCGTCGGCACCGCTTTGTATTTGTCACGGACATCGAGAAGATGTTCCGGCAAATCCTCGTCCACCCCGAAGATCGCCGCTTCCAACGGATTCTCTGGCGCCCGAGAGTCTCTGAAAAGACGCAAGAATATGAGCTCAACACCGTCACCTACGGGCTCGCCTGTGCGCCGTTCCTCGCCGTCCGCACACTCCGCCAACTGGCTACTGACGAGGAAGCACGAGGTCCAAGGGGGGCCCTCGCTCTACGCCATGATTGCTACATGGACGACGTCATAACGGGAGCCGACTCCCTGCAAACAGAGCTCCGGGAGCTTTGCACGGCGGGCGGGTTTCCGCTGCGGAAGTGGGCCGCCAACAGCGAAGCCATCCTTGAAGGAGTGCCCTCTGACCACCGGCTGCAGCTAGCGCATCACTCCTGGGAGAACGAGGTGCATTCCACCTTGGGCCTGCGCTGGCATCCCGCCAGCGACGACTTCTCCTTCACGATCCAGGCTCCAGTCACAGGCGGATACACCAAGAGGCGAGTCCTGTCAGAGACGGCGCGGTTGTTCGACCCTCTAGGATGGCTAGCTCCTGTCATCATCCGCGCCAAGATTCTAATACAGTCTGCATGGCTGAAGGGGCTGGATTGGGACACCCCGCTCCCAACCGAGGACGCCCAGTCCTGGCAGCGTCTCCTCTCCGAGCTCCATGTGTTGGGGCGCCTCAGGATGGAGCGCTGGCTAGGGACGACTCACCAGGCTTCGCAGATTGAGATCCACGGATTCGCCGACGCGTCCGAACGTGGCTTTGCTGCCGTCGTCTACCTCCGCGTGACCACTGCCGACGGGACGGCCACTCATCTTCTCGCCGCCAAAACCAAGGTCGCTCCCATAAAGCCCGTGACTCTCCCGCGGCTGGAACTTTGCGCTGCCTCCTTGCTCGCGAATCTCACGTGCCATCTCCGGACTTCACTAGATATACCGTCAGCACCGGTATACCTCTGGTCCGACTCCAGGGTCGCCCTCCACTGGATCAAGGGTCACGCCTCGCGATGGAAGACCTACGTGGCCAATCGGGTGTCGCTGATTCAACAGCGGCTACCCGAAGCACAGTGGAGGCACGTTCCTGACCAGGATAATCCAGCCGACTGCGCATCCAGAGGAATCGCCCCGAGGGATTTGGTGGACCACCCCCTCTGGTGGAGTGGCCCCGACTGGCTCCCCAGGGACTCGTCGCTATGGCCAGACCAGGACAACCAGACCATGATGGGCGAGGTCCCTGAAATTAAAAGAACTATATTAGTCGCCACATGCAGGGACAAACCGGAGCCGGAACTTCTTCTCCAGTTTTCCTCTCTACACCGACTCTTACGTGTGTCTGCATGGTGTTTCCGCTGGCGGCCATCCGGTCGTCATCCTCTCAGCGCCGTTCTGCTGCCGAGCGAACTTGACGTCTCTCTCTTCCGCTGGCTCAGAGTCGTCCAAGGGATCCATTACGCCGCTGAGATCGCTGCCACTCGAGAATCTCGCTCGATGCCCAAGGGCGGCCACCTGGCTAAGCTGCACCCCTTCATCGACAGCCAAGGAATCCTCCGCGTTGGGGGTCGCCTGAAACACGCGATATTGACCTACGATGAGCGTCACCCCATGATAGCGCCTCCAGCTTCATGGCTTACCCAGCTCATCGTAGAGTCTTGCCACCGACGGACGCTGCATGGAGGCACGCAGCTCACACTGGGACTTCTCCGCCTCCGCTTCTGGGTGCCGCGAGGTCGAGCCGTGGTCAAGCGGATCCTACACCGATGCGTGACGTGCGTTCGCTGGCGAGCCAACACTCCGCGGCCTCTGATGGGCGATCTCCCGCCAGGTCGGGTTACTCCAGCGCGCCCTTTCCTGAGGACAGGGGTCGATTACGCCGGTCCGATATTCCTCCGCACATCCAAGGGGCGAGGACAGCGAGCACACAAGGCCTTCATAGCCTTATTTGTCTGCCTTTGTTCCAGAGCGACTCACCTGGAAATAGTGTCCGACTACTCCACGGACGCATTCCTCGCCGCATTCCGCAGGTTCATCTCCCGTCGAGGCCTATGCGAGGAAATGTACTCCGACTGCGGCACCAACTTCGTCGGAGCGGACAGGCAGCTGCGAGAGTTCTTCCGTGCGTCTTCCCCCGACGGCCGTCGCATCGCGCAGGGAATCACCAAGGAGGGCGTATCCTGGCGTTTCAATCCTCCTGCCGCGCCGCACTTTGGAGGGCTATGGGAGGCCGCGGTGAAATCGACCAAGCATCACCTGCGACGAGTGATCGGAGAGTCTACTCTCACCTTTGAGGAGATGAGCACTCTCCTAGCGCAAATCGAGGCTTGCTTAAACTCTCGTCCGTTACAGGCCTTGTCGGATGATCCGGATGACCTGTCCGCCTTGACTCCAGGTCACCTCCTCATAGGCGCTCCGCTGTTGGCAGTTCCGGAACCTTCGCTGGCAGATCAGTCACCGAACTCGCTGTCGCGATGGCAGCTACTCCAGCAAATGCGTGACCACTTCTGGCAGCGATGGTCACAGAAGTACCTCCACGCCTTGGCACCTCGGTCGAAATGGCTCAAGGCCGAGCCAGCACCAGAAGTCGGAGCACTGTGCCTCATCCGCTCGGAGTCCACCTCGCCCACCCATTGGCCCCTCGCGAGAATTACCCGGTTACACCCCGGAAGCGACGGAACGGTCCGCGTCGTGACCGTCCGAACCTCCACCTCGGAATTCGTCCGGCCGGTGGTGAAACTTGTCCTCCTGCCGGGGGTCAAGGAGGCTCACGCGTCCGCGAACGAATAGCGCTCGAACTATTCCCTCCGCGTGTCACTTTCGCGACGCTGTATATATATATGTACTGTAATAACCGCACTCTACTTCACTCGTTCACATTGTATATTTTTTTTTCTTTCTCTCCATCACCTCTATCAGCTGTTCGCCTCCGCTTCATTTTTTCACCACTCAACTCCGCGATCAGCCGCTTATCGTTCACCGCATACCGCCGAGCGACATCAATTAATCATCCACCTCAATTGTGCGAAAATCATTTCATCGATCATCGCATTCCGCATTGTATTATACATCATCTAATCACTGTAAATATTTCACTTCATATCACATCACTTTCCACCTCGAAATAATCCGACAAACTGAGGAACACGTGTCGGCGTGTTACGTCACACATTCCTCTCATTGATCGCGATCCACGCTTCATCAATTGAGCCATTCGCGACACCTGCCCGTCCCCGCACGCACTCGCGAGTTTCGTCACGCGCTGACGAGGCGGGCGGGATGTTCAAGATTCACAATCGCAATTTTAAAATTCGAACTTAACCGGCGTCGAGAAACTTCTCGAAAAATCTATTTTACAACAAACTTGACCGTTCGAGTCATCTCTCACCTTTTTCGCGCCATAAAAAACGCTCAGCTTATACAATTGACAACAACATTGTCAACCGCCGTCAAAATCCACGCAACGGTCGGGCATGCACGCCCATACGTCACGATCAGCTGATGGCCAATCAATATAATGTATATAATGAGCCCAGCGAGAGGGCACGCGGAAGTCTTGCACTTTTCGGAGTCATTACTTTACGTTCACACCGCTTAGTTACACCGCTTTGTCAAACCGCTTATAACGACCGCTTGCTCTTTTCGGATCGCTTTTCTCTCTGTCTATATCGCTGACATATTTGCACGACGACCGCTAGTTTTCTTGGACACTGGTTTTTCTTGACGTTACACCGCTCGTGATATCTCGCACGAATATCGCACTATTCCGCTGCTCGCGCCTTCGCTGTCACGCGTCGCCGCTGCACTCAACAATTGTTGCCTTTAAAGTTCTGACTGCAATAAAGTTCTGCTATTTTTAACTGGCGTTTTCACTGAACTATTATCACTTTTCCGCGGCTCACTGTCGGACTCGCTCGCGAACAATAGACGAAGATGTAAGTATCGTTGTTCCTTATTATATAATATTATTATATTATTATATAATATAAGAAAATTAATATTATTAATTTATATTTAATTTCAGATACTAATGAGTGAAGACGATCCCGTCGCCGCCGGTCCCGTCGTCGCCAACCCCGTCGCCGTCAGCCCCGTCGTCGCCGCCGGCCCCGTCGCCGCCAGCCCCGTCGTCGCCGCCGCCGGCCCCCCGTCGTCGCCGCCGGCCACGTCGCCGCCAACTCCGAACGGAGAGGTAACATATTTTAATTATTTTTTGTTAATAACATAATTTGTTTTCTGACTTATGTATATACAATTTTATCAAATAGTGTAAAAGTAAAATCGTATAAATAATACAAATAATTGAACTATTAATTAATCGGCATATTGTGATTGAAACTAACTTCATAAACAGAGGTCGATTGTGTTAGTTTTCTTGATTTAAAAAATGCTATATTTAAATTATTTAATAATTTTTTTCGTTCAATTAAGTTTGATATCAAAAAATTGAATATACATATGTTTCAGGAAATAAAATACATATATCATTGGATCAAAGAAATATTCAATCAAAACGTTACTTTTGAATTAAGTTTCTCATATAACAGTATTAAGAGCATACACACAGAAAAATACATACTATATACAAGTAAATATTACTAATTTCAAGTATTTCATAAGAGTTTGTATATCCGCAAATCTATCATAAGTTCATCATAAGCATTTATTTTACTTAAAACGTATTCTAAATCCTAGTAAATCTAATATTTCAATCAAGAATATTAAATTAAAACAAAAATTCTATTTGCTTATTATACAGGGTGACCCATTTTAACTTAGGCAGCCAAATAACTCGAAAAATAAGCACACTACGAAAAAATGGTTAGAATCAAAATTTCGTCATTTCGAGGGGGACGTACAATGACGTTAAAATCAGCCCCCCACCCCTCCCCCTGGGCGGTGAGGGGGGGCAAGTTTGAAATCTTAAATGGAACCCCCTATTTTTCATTGCATATTCTTGTAGCTTATCTCGAGAGCTTTCCAAAACACTATAATTAAGTACCTTTTTATTAAGTACTTTTTGAGTTATAAGGCTTGAAATAATTTCTTAATTTTACATAAACCATAAAATATCTAGTAAACCATTCATTTTTCGATTATCTTACCTTCATACTTTTATGTACAAAATAATGAAAGGAATCAATTGGTGTAAAGAAAACACATAGTTGTTTCTAAGAAAAAATATGTAATTTGCAATTAACAATTCCATATTTTTTCTTAAAAACAACTGTATGTTTTCTTTACACCAATTGATTCCTCTCATTATTTTGTACATAAAAGTATGAAGGTAAGATAATCGAAAAATGAATGGTTTACTAGATATTTTATGGTTTATGTAAAATTAAGAAATTATTTCAAGCCTTATAACTCAAAAAGTACTTAATAAAAAGGTACTTAATTATAGTGTTTTGGAAAGCTCTCGAGATAAGCTACAAGAATATGCAATGAAAAATAGGGGGTTCCATTTAAGATTTCAAACTTGCCCCCCCTCACCGCCCAGGGGGAGGGGTGGGGGGGCTGATTTTAACGTCATTGTACGTCCCCCTCGAAATGACGAAATTTTGATTCTAACCATTTTTTCGTAGTGTGCTTATTTTTCGAGTTATTTGGCTGCCTAAGTTAAAATGGGTCACCCTGTAGAGTGATTAATATATAGAGTGATTAATATATAAAGTGATTAATATGTAGAGTGATTAATATATAGAGTGATTAATATATAGAGTAATTAATATATAGAGTGATTAATATATAGAGTGATTAATATATAGAGTGATTAATATATAGAGTAATGTAAAAAAGACGATACGAAGTGAGGTACGAGGTAATGTATAAAGCGACGCATCGTACGATCGTGCGAAACGATGCGGCGCGTGGAATAATATGGCGATACATGGATTAATATATAGTTGTATGCGAAGCGATGTAAAATGCGTAGGACGATGCGAGTGGTGATCGGGCGGGAAGGCGCGGTCCCTCGGTGTTGAAGTCGGCGAGACGTCTGAAATGTATAAATTAAAAAACTTCAAAGTTGCCAGCAAATAAATAAAACAGAGTAATTAAGGTTGACCACAACTGGCAATTTTAATTCGAAATCAAAATTTCACAACGTTTCGACCATAGGTTTTGGCCCTTTTCAAGTGAACTACAAAAAATTAATTCAATATTACAAAAATAAAATAATTGATTTTGAGATAACGAGCAAAAGGTTACATACATACAGTAATTTGATTAAAAGTTGTATCGTGAAAAATAATCACTTCGTCAAAACTATCATGTCGACCTGTCCTCACCAACAAAAGGAGAAAGACTAGACAACCTTTATTATTTTGTCATAAATATCGTTTAAATTATCTGTGTCCTTTTGTAAGTTGATAGTGTTGTCAAGCTTTTTTATATAAAACATTTCAGCAAAAGTAGGATATATAGGAGAGTTCTAACCCAGGTCCTCTCAGGGGGGGTGAGGCGCGCGGGGGATTACGGAGGCGCGGGGGAATGACGTCACGCGGGACGGAGGGATTTCGGCGGCGGCGCGTGTTAGATGTTTTATGGTAATATTATATTACATGCCCGGCTGATAAACAGTATTGCGTACGGACATGTTCGGTTTATAAATAATATAAACATCAGCATTTTCGAATTGAGATTATGATCGTATAATAGAGATGTGACATTATCGCCATATCGTCGTAAACGCCTCGTAAAAAGTACGCGCGGTCCCATATATTTATCGAAAGTATATGAAATATTGTGTCGCATGCCCGGTTGAATAAACAATATAAACATCTGCATTTCTTTGAAATGCAACGCGTGCGAGTACAATGCGTGCGAGGGAAAGAGACTTAAGATATAACGCATGAGAGAGAACGATACTTATAACTAGCGCAGGGATGGGAACGCAAGAAGAGGTCTGTAAATAAATACATTTTTTTTTCCAATTAAAAATATAAAATTTAATCCGTTATTATAGAGTGCCCATAGCTCATCAAAAATTTACATAACAATCGTCATACGATTCTACTTAAATCTCCATTCAGATTATTTTGTTCTCCATTCTGATCTCCATTCAGATTTCTCATCTCTCCTGAAACATTCTCCTACAAAAAAAATCACCAAAAATAATTACTTGAATATTTTAAATTTAATTTCGTAATTATATTAGCAAAAATTATCCATTACCTGTACATTCTCTTCCTGTTGCTTTTTCTTTTGATATGCATACTTTTTGTATATAATTTCAGGTGGACATTTGCATTTACGAGATTGACATTGTATTACAATATCGCGTTATATATAATAATTTATGATGATTAGCAATGCATTTTCTAAAATCATTCATATTCAATATTATGATAAAAATCATTCCAGATTATTAAATCTATGTACGTTTGGTTTATGCCCGTTGGGATACGTATATTTATTACACGGCTGTTATGTGCAGTCATTGATACACCTATCTACCCAACTGTAATCGACATTTTATATATATAAACATGGTCTTCATATTCAAATATTTGATTCGCAATTGCGTCTAATACATGGTATTGCCAACCATCTTCTGAGTCTATGATTCGAGATAATTTTACGTTTACTGCCGAAAATAAGAGTAATCATCATCATCGTATACATCAATTGAGAAGTGTGTCTTCCGAATTTCACGAAAAATTTTCAGTTGTACATGATCGGGCATTCGATATACCCATTATCATACATATTAACCTCGGCTTGTCTGACGAAACGTTGCTCACGCATACCTCGTATGCCTAATTCTCGATCGCGCACATATTGTGTTA